GAAGGAATGTCCCCTTACAGAGGTGGTTAGTGGAAGGAATGACGCCTTACATTGGTGGTCAGTGGAAGGAATAACCACTTACCTTGGTGGTTAGCGGAAGGAATAACCATTTACAGTGGTGGTCAGTGGAAGAAATGACCCCTTACAGTGGTGATCAGTAGAAGAAATGATTAACCACAGTGGTGGTCAATGCATGGAATGACCCCTTTACAGAGGTGCTTAGTGGAAGAAATGACCCCTTACAGCGGTGGTCAGTGGAAGGAATGACCACTTACCTTAGTGGTGAACAGAAGGAAAAACCACTTACAGTGGTGGTCAGTGGAAGGAATGAACCCTTACAGTGGTGATCAGTAGAAGAAATGATTAACTACAGTGGTGTTCAATAGAAGGAATGACCCCTTTTCTACGAGGTCTAACTCCATGGTCAAGAATTCAAAGTCTCTCTTTGAACATGTACCACATAACCACAATCAGTTCTATAACCACATCATCATGATAGATGGCTAGACCAAAGACCCAATCAATATAGAGCCATATTACTTATAAGACCAGCCTTTCTCAATCTTTTTATCCGCAGAAGAACCCTTGAAATTATTTTTAGGTGTCCCGTAACCCCTGTTCAAATTAGTTCATCAGAGGTCAAAAGGAAAACACCCCTTACATTGGTGGTCAATGGAAGGAATGACCAGTTACAGTGGTGGTTGGAATAACCCCTTAGAGAGGTGGTCAGTGGAAGGAATAACCACTTGCATTGGTGGTCAGCGGAAGGAATGACCACTTAACTTTGTGGTCAGCGGAAGGAATAAACACTTACAGTGGTGGTCAGTGGAAGGAATGACCCCTTACAGTGGTGATCAGTAGAAGAAATGATTCACTACAGTGGTGGTCGATAGAAGGAATGACCCCTTACAGAGGTGGTTAGTGGAAGGAATCACGCCTTACAATGGTGGTTAGTGAAAGGGATGACCCCTTACATTGGTGGTCAGTGGAAGGAATAACTACTTACCTTGGTGGTTAGCGGAAGGAATAACCACTTACAGTGGTGGTCAGTGGAAGAAATTACCCCTTACAGTGGTGATCAGTAGAAGAAATTATTAACTACAGTGGTGGTCGATAGAAGGAATGACCCCTTACAGAGGTGGTTCGTGGAAGGAATGACGCCTTACAGTGGTGGTTAGTGAAAGGAATAACCACTTACAGTGGTGGTCAGTGGAAGGAATGACTCCTTACAGTGGTGATCAGTAGAAGAACTGATTCACTACAGTGGTGGTCGATAGAAGGAATGACCCCTTACAGAGGTGGTTAGTGGAAGGAATGACGCCTTACAGTGGTGGTTAGTGAAAGGAATGACCCCTTACATTGGTGGTCAGTGGAAGGAATGACCACTTCCATTGGTGGTCAGTCGAAAGAATGTCCCCTTCCAGTGGTGGTCAGTGGAAGGAATGACGACTTCTATTCGTGGTCAGTGGAAGCAATGTCCCCTTACAGTGGTGGTCATTGGAAGGAATGTCCCCTTACAGTGGTGGTCATTGGAAGGAATGATCCCTTACAGTGGTGGTCATTGGAAGGAATGACCCCTTACAGGGGTCATCAAAAGAGGCGGTAGCATGACACCAATGATCTTTTTAGCTGACTGTAAAAGGTGGCATTCTAAGTGGCAATGGAACTGTGCAGGCACCATAATGTAGGTCATCAACTAGCCACAGCTCAAGGAACCCCTAACAACCTCTGGAGGAGCCCTGGCTGAGGATGACTGTATTAGACAATGCTGGCTACATCTAGTTACGGCCACGTCATGGAAAGACTAACTTGTATTTGTAAGTATGACCTTAGTATTCTATATTCATCACCATTTTGTATATCTTTTATTTAAAAACCCCCCAAAAAACAGTAATTTATTTAAAATAAAACTGGCAGGGTTATAAAACCTCCCTTACTCTATTCAAACAAAAAATGCATGTAGATACACATTAACAAGATTGTAGGTTTGGCACTTTGTAATGATTGAAAACACAATATTTCAGCTATGAATCCCCTTCAACTCATATGCGGTTTACTCCACATAGCTATATGACCACAAAGTCCATATAAATCTTAATCTGTCACACACAAATTGAATTTCTCTATAACAAAAAAATCTGTTTTTTTTTTGTTTGCCTCGTCATATACAATACAGTCTGACTGTATAGATCTCTTTTATATCTACCAACCAGGGGCGGACTGACCATTTGGAAACTTGGGCACTGCCCGAGGGCCCGGGGTCAGTAGGGGGCCCCATGAGATGCCCCTGGTACCTTTTTCATAGGCTTTTTTGAGTTTGGGCAAGGACACAGGGGCCCCATGATCCCCTATTGCCCGGGGGCCCCATGACTTGTCAGTCCGCCCCTGCTACCAACAACTATGTCGTAAAAGAGTCTTCCTGGTTGGATACAGAATAATGGTACAGTTTTGGTAGATCTTCATAATGTATATTTAGAGAAATTCTAAAGTTAATTGCAGAAAAGACTAGATTGTACGGTGTAGGGCAAATTTTAAACCCACACACACCAACATTATTTTGTACAATCGTTTGTTCGGAAATTCAGAATAATCGTTTGTCAGAGTATTCTGTTGTACCATTATAGACTCGTTTCTTATGAAAACCCTAAAAATTATTGTTCAATTGCCATGCCAATGTTTTGAATTCTATCTTTGATTTTTCCGATTGAAAATCATGTTCACAGTTAACATTGTGTTCATTCATCATTTTCTATCCTTCTCGATTTTCCTCGTCACTCATGGAAAATGGTCATCGATTTGATCCCAGATCCCAACAGCTTAGACACCTTGGTGTGACCTCACACTGCCTCCGGTTATGTTCCCATTAAGTGTTGGTCTATGGAATGTTGTGTGAGGCAGTCTGTGGGGTTTTTTATGCTAGGTACTGTGAGTGGGGTCACTCACCCTGCATATGGGGTACCGTACCTTTACTATGTCAACCCCCCCGGGACAAGGTGGGGATCGCTTTCAGGAAAAATCAACCTTAAGGCTTTGTTCTAGCTCAGGGATGGGCCGTGCACCCTGTGCTTTGAGTGAACCCTCTGGTACCGTGCCAATGCACACCCTGACTGTAACGGCTGCATTTAGGAGGGACACCTGAGCCTACGCCCATTCCACCCATACAGAATTCCTCTGCCACCTCACTCTCAGTGACAGAATGGGGTCCCACTGTGCACCTAGTGAACTTAAATCCTCTTGTTCTTCCATAACTGCTAGCTAGGCCGAGAGTCTCCATGAAGCTGATCTGTTGCCATCTCCAAATATCACCCAAACCGTACTCTCTGCTCCTCACACAACCTCCTGCACTCTAGCTCCCTTGTCTCCTCCTTACATGCTCATCTCCAGGACTTCTCCAGAGCTTCCCCCATCTTCTGGAGCTCTCTACCCCAATTTATCAGACTATTGCCTACTCTGCTCACTTTTAGGCGATCTCTGAAAATCTCTCTCTTCAGGGAAGCCTATCCTGCCCTCAGCTAATAATGGAATCTTCTATTCCTCCTACAAGTCCATCCTCCACAGTTACTACCTTTTGTACCACTAGCCCCTCCCTCCTAGATTGTAAGCTCCAAGGATCAGGGCCCTCCTAACCCTCTTGTATTGAACTGTATTGTTGCTGTATTGTCTACCTTTATATTGTAAAGTGCTGAGCAAACTGTTGGCGCTAAATAAATCCTGTATAATAATAATAATTGCAATGGGAGATGAACCGCTGAGAAGAGGCAACCCCCTCGCTACCGGTGGACACCTCACCTAGCGCAGGTACCATGCTTCACCGTAGGCTGCTTGTACTGGCAGTTGGCCTCTAGGTACTCTTGAAAACCACTTCCTTCTCTTCCGAATCATGAAGAGGCTGACTTCATACCCCAATGTGCTCCAACTGACCCAAGCCTCAGATGTCTGTGTGTGTCGGTTACTTTCATACATGCCTTTAGAATAACTTCAGACCACACAGAAAAACGTTTAAAGGCTTTACTGTAAAAGCTTCAGTGCAACAGTCTATGTTCTGTCCTCGCCACGTGTTTCCCTGTGTGCAACTCGACATTTATTATTATTATTATTATACAGTGTTTATATAGCGCCCTCAGTTTGCTCAGCGCTGTACATTACAATGGGAGACAATACAAGACAGTACAATGACAATACAATGCGATACAAGAGGGGTTCGAGGGCCCTGCTCCTTGGAGCTTACAATCTAGGAGGGAGGGGATAGTGGTACAGGAGGAAATAGCTGTGGGGGATGGAGTGGTAGGAAGAGTGGAGGAGGTCGGCAATTAGCTGATGGCGGGGTAGGCTTCCCTGAAGAGGTGGGTTTTCAGGGTGCGCCTAAAGGAGAGGAGAGTAGGTCATAGTCTGATGGATTGGGGTAGGGAGTTCCAGAGGATGGGGGAAGCCCTGGAGAAGGGTCCGGGGAGAGCGGATATAGTGAATGCATGCAGGATATAGTCCGGGGAGACCGGATATAGTGAATGCAGGGTCCGGGGGAGACCGGATATAGTGAATGCAGGGTCCGGGGAGACCAGATATAGGGAATGCAGGGTCCGGGGAGACCGGATATAGTGAATGCAGGATCCGGGGAGACCGGATATAGTGAATGCAGGATCCGGGGAGACCGGATATAGTGAATGCAGGATCCGGGGAGACCGGATATAGTGAATGCGGGGTCCGGGGAGACCGGATATAGTGAATGCGGGGTCCGAGGAGAGCGGATATAGTGAATGCGGGGTCCGGGGAGAGCGGATATAGTGAATGCGGGGTCCGGGGAGAGTGGATATAGTGAATGCGGGGTCCGGGGGAGAGCGGATATAGTGAATGCGGGGGTCCGGGGAGAGCGGATATAGTGAATGCGGGGTCCGGGGAGAGCGGATATAGTGAATGCGGGGTCCGGGGAGAGCGGATATAGTGAATGCGGGGTCCGGGGAGAGCGGATATAGTGAATGCGGGTCCGGGGAGAGCGGATATAGTGAATGCGGGGTCCGGGGAGAGCGGATATAGTGAATGCGGGGTCCGGGGAGAGCGGATATAGTGAATGCGGGGTCCGGGGAGAGCGGATATAGTGAATGCGGGGGTCCGGGGAGAGCGGATATAGTGAATGCGGGGTCCGGGGAGAGCGGATATAGTGAATGCGGGGTCCGGGGAGACCGGATATAGTGAATGCAGGGTCCGGGGAGAGCAGATATAGTGAATGCAGAGTCCGGGGAGACCGGATATAGTGAATGCAGGGTCCGGGGGGAGAGCGGATATAGTGAATGCAGAGTTCGGGGAGACCGGATATAGTGAATGCAGGGTCCGGGGGAGACGGATATGGTGAATGCAGGGTCCAGGGAGAGCGGATATAGTGAATGCAGGGTCCGGGGAGACCGGATATGGTGAATGCAGGGTCCAGGGAGAGCGGATATAGTGAATGCAGGGTCCGGGGAGAGCGGATATAGTGAATGCAGAGTTCGGGGAGACCGGATATAGTGAATGCAGGGTCCAGGGGAGACCGGATATGGTGAATGCAGGGTCCAGGGAGAGCGGATATGGTGAATGCAGGGTCAAGGGAGAGCAGATATAGTGAATGTAGGGTCCGGGGTTTAGGAACACTTTAAAATTTACATACAATTTAATCAACATATGCCAGCTCTGCTAATGTAGCCTGCACATCTAGGCATCAATGTTCAATCAATGCCCAGGAAATGACCCGTTCCATTCAGTGAACACAGACTGTCTGCTGTTTCTTGCGCTCTTCATGTAATAGGAACTGTGTATAATCTTTGTATTACTTGGGAAATACTAGTGTAACCCGGGCCGCATATACAAGACCCAAGCGTGGTATATCTGCTATGTATTGACTTTAACAAGCGCTGGGAACAGCTCTGTGACGTTGCGTGGGGCTGTTTGATCTGAAGAGAACATTTGGAGCCAAGTAACATTTTTAACACTCGTAATTTGTGCCGCCCCCCCGTGTAGAATTTTTATATATGCGTGGAGTGAAATAGAAATATGGTCACCTTATGTAACACACACAGTATGGATGCAATTAACAAAAATTCAAGTGTTACTAAACCCACAACAGTACAATCAGTCTGTATATGCAGTAAAGCATGCTTGTTATAGGTGTGGAACCTAAGGGGTTAATCCTCTGCATTGTGTAAATAGGCCGTTTGTTCCTGTCTTCTCTGCTCCTCCCCTTGTTTAAGCAACCACCTCTTATCTCCTGATAAGACAGACTGAACGGTAGGCATTTTGCACATGCTCAGTTTGGTGTGTATTGCTGGAGAGGGTTTTTTTTTTTTTTTTCTTTGGAGAGTGCATATGATCAGCACAGGGCCAATCAGCACTGGTCAGACAGAGGTCAGGGGTTCTGAATCCTTCTAGAGCGGAAAGAAAACTCTTCCTTCAAGCTTTAGCTAGTGCTCTGCTGGACACTGATAGAAGTCACAAGACTGCTCTAACTGCTGATGAGAAAAGGTATTTAGCAGTTTTATATTTACTAAAATAATTGCATTTCCATGTTGTGTGTACAGTGGGAGACCAGATATAGTGAATGCAGGGGTCCTGGGAGACCAGATATAGTGAATGCAGGGTCCGGGGTGAGCGAATATAGTAAATGCAGGGTCCGGGAAGAGTGAATATAGTAAATGCAGGGTCCGGGGAGAGCAGATATAGTGAATGTAGGGTCCGGGGAGAGCGGATATAGTGAATGCAGGGTCCGGGGAGACCGGATATAGTGAATGCAGGGTCCGGGGAGAGCGGATATAGTGAATGCGGGGTCCGGGGAGACCAGATATAGTGAATGCGGGGTCGGGGAGAGCGGATATAATGAATGCAGGGTCCGGGGAGAGCGGATATAGTGAATGCAGGGTCCTGGGAGACCGGATTATAGTGAATGCAGGGGTCCGGGGAGACCGGATATAGTGAAGGCAGGGTCTGGGAGAGAGCGGATATAGAGAATGCAGGGTCCAGGAGAGAGTGGATATAATGAATGCAGGGTCCGGGGAGAGCAGATATAGTGAATGCAGGGTCCGGGGAGAGCAGATATAGTGAATGCAGGGTCGGGGAGAGCGGATATAGTGAATGCAGGGTCCTGGGAGAGCGGATATAGTGAATGCAGGGTTCGGGGAGAGCGGATATAGTGAATGCAGGGTCCGGGGAGACTGGATATGGTGAATGCAGGGTCCGGGGAGAGCGGATATAGTAAATGCAGGGTCCGGGGAGAGCGGATATAGTAAATGCAGGGTCCGGGGAGAGTGGATATAGTGAATGCGGGGTCCGGGGTTTAGTATTTTAATCACACACAATGCTTAAAGTGGTATTAAACCCAAAAGCAAACATTTATAATATTGCAGCTTACTAATTCTTACATGTGAAGGCTGCCTTCTTTTTTTTTTTAGGCTTTTTTTCTTCTGCTTTCACCTGCTGATCCAGCCAGTAAGCCTGTTGTTTTTCAAAAGAACAAGCTGTCCAGCAGAATGTATCGGTTACAGAGATGAGAAACACCATTTAATACTATCAGGGGGGCTTACAATGATCAGCTTTTATTTATTCATGTAAAATCTTTACCCCAAAAGGAAAAGAACTGTTTGCTGTAACTGCTTATAAAGTGTGAGCTGGAGTTTGGCTTCAATTTGTTAGTGAATCTGCTAGTACATCTAACACTCCCCTCCCCCCCAGACTGACAATGCTGCTGTCCAAAGGTGCCCCCTGTGCTCCTTCATCCACAGTGGGGGCGCTCTAAAACAGGTGGTGTGTTACTGGTCAGATCCCCAGGTGCAAAGACAAGGGGGAAAAGCCTACAAAAAGAAAACTAATGCAGCCATCATATATAATGATTAGTAAACTGCAATATATTAAATTTTTTGCCTGATAACATAACCACTGTGATTGGCTGTCACAGTGGTCACATGATTGGAATCCGGACCCCCAGGTGCTAATCACCACTAGAGACCAGGAGCTGACAGCTCGGTGACTGTGCAGTGAGCGCACTATTAGCTGAGAAACCTCTGCTGCCAAAGGACACATATGTGTGGCGTGTGGGCATTAATGTCCATCTGTTTGCTGCTGCGCACATGTGTTACATGGATGGCAAGAGTTTCAGCTGAGGCAGATTACAGCAATGGCAGTACATGTGTTGCAGGTCATACACTTCTTCAGGCAGAAAAAGGAAATATTTATCAGCAAGGTACTTTTGCAAAGATGATATAACATGAGTTTACAGACCACAGAATGCCTGAGCAGTAATTCCCTTGGAGGAAATATGAGATTAAAGGTCACCCTGCCATCCCCAAAGTCCTTGCTGATGGGACTCAGTTCCAGGAAGCTGGCAGAAGAGACGCCCTGTAAATGGAAAACTGATTTTCCCTTTTTTAGGTACCTCTCCCTAACACCGCTCCTACACTGTCCCTATCCCCGCCGGGTTGCCCCTCACCTACACTCACACTGCAAGAGCAATGAATGATGAGAAACCTGCTATTCAAGCACATCTGCTGTCAAGATGGCTGTCCGAGTCCGGTGGGAGTTTAGCATCTAATCGGTGATTCTGGCCTCCCCAAAATGGCTGCTCAGAGCCAGAAATAGGGGAACAATTAGTTCTCAATGGTTTCCAACCTGAAGATAGGTCGACAGAGAAATAAAACCCAACATCTGCCTACAAGGTTTAAACAAATGTCCGCTGTATCTGCAGGCATTGGGAATTAAAGCACTGCAGAAACACTGTTCTATCAGCAGAGCAGTTCACCCTGCTTTTCCTCTCCCACCAATAACTCGGCCGCTCAGCTCCACCCTGTTTCTTTTCCCATCAGCAACTCAGCAGCTCGACTCACCCTGCTTCTTCTCCACCAGCAACTCAGCAGCTTGAATCACCTTGCTTTTTCTCCCACCAGCGACTCAGCAGCTTGAATCACCTTGCTTCTTCTCCCACCAGTGACTCAGCAGCTCAGCTCCACCCTGCTTCTTCTCTTCCACCAGTGACTCAGCAGCTCAGCTCCACCCTGCTTCTTCTTCCACCAGTGACTCAGCAGCCCAGCTCCACCCTGCTTCTTCTCCCCACCAGTGACTCAGCAGCTCAGCTCCACCCTGCTTCTTCTCCCACCAGTGACTGAGCAGCTCAACTCACCCTGCTTCTTCTCCCACCAACAACTCAGCAGCTTGACTCACCCTGCTTCTTCTCCCACTAGTGACTCAGCAGCTCTACACACCCTGCTTCTTCTCCCACCAGTGATTCAGCAGCTCAGCTCCACCTTGCTTCTTCTCCCACCAATGACTCAGCAGCTCAGCTCCACCCTGCTTCTTCTCCCACCAGTGACTCAGCAGCTCGACTTACCCTGCTTCTTCTCCCACCAGTGATTCAGCAGCTCAGCTCTACCCTGCTTCTTCTCCTACCAGTGACTCAGCAGCTTGATTCACCTTGATTCTTCTCCCAACAGTGACTCAGCAGCTCAGCTCCACCCTGCTTCTTCTCCCACCAGTGACTCAGCAGCTTGACTCACCTTGATTCTTCTCCCACCAGTGACTCAGCAGCTCAGCTCCACCCTGCTTCTTCTCCCACCAGTGACTAAGCAGCTTGACTCACCCTGCTTCTTCTCCCACCAGTGACTCAGCAACTTGACTCACCTTGATTCTTCTCCCACTGGTGACTCAGCAGCTCAGCTCCACTCTGCTTCCATGCCGGCCTCCCCAAAATGGCTGCCCAGACCCAGAAATAGGGGAACATTTAGTTCTCAATGGTCTCCAACCTCTTTCTTAATTAGTATAAGTTGAGAAGGGTAGCTATGGTGAGATCAGAAAGACTTAGAGACATATGGGTTACCCTAGTCATGTCAGAGTTGCACAATTTGCAGTTACCAAAATAAGAGGAACCCAGCAGCTTTTTTTGAGAAATAAGGTGATTATTATTATTATTATACATGATATCTATAGAGCCAACAGTTTGCCCAGCCCTCCTCAATATAAAGGGAGACAGTACAGTTACAATACATTTTAATATCAGGGCCCTCTGTTTCCTCTTGTGCCAAATTGTATCGTAACTGTAATGTCTACCTTCATTTTGTAAAGCGCTGAGCAAACTGTTGGCGCTATATAAATCCTGTATAATAATAATAATAAAAAAAAATAATAATAATAGTCATACAAGAGAGTTCAGAGGGCCCCTGCTACCATACAATGTAAATGGAAGGGGAAAATGACAGAAAAGGTCATAACTGTGAGAGATGAGTTGGTGGAGAAAGTAGAACTTCAGTTTACTAGGAGGAGGCTGGATAGGCTTCCCTGAAGAGATGAGTTATTATGGATCACCTAAAGGTGGACAGAGCAGGAGAATGGCTGGAGAGATTGGGGGTAGGGAGTTCCAAAGATTGAAGAGGCTCTGGAGAAGTCATGGGAAGAGGTGATGAGGGAGCTAGAGAGCAGGAGGGCTTGAGAGGGGCAGAGAGGACAGCTTGG